CAAGGTTCTTGATCCGGTCTCTCAACCGTATAAACCGACAGACGGATTCCCGTCCTCTCAATCGACCAAGCTACCGATTTCCTTTTTTTCTCTTTCTTCCCTTCTTCTCTCATTCTCTCTGTCGCCTTTTTCGTTCCTTCCCCCCCTTCTGACATTTCTCTCCCTTTCCAGCGAGTACGTTGGCCAGATTAAGATCGCAGAATCGGCTGTCAGCTGCGGGTGATCACGATGCGCAACAATCGCACGGTTCCGAATCGTTTTGTGCACCATGTTAGGCAGTGTCCTCCGTTTCCCGTTGTTTCGCCATCTCGTCGTCTTCTCTTCTCTTTTTTCCTTTTCTCTTTTTTCTTCCTCTGGTCGTTTCGGCCCTCCCGATCATCCACGACCACGTCTCCTCGTCATTCATGCAGCTGGGACGACGGATGATGCCTCTGGTAATCGTTGATCTACCGTGAAATGATCGATCGATCGTTGGAGGTTCCTTCGTTTCTCGGTTTCAACGGTTGTTCGCGGTACAACTCGCGACGACGATGGGGCGAGCGTGTGTGAAATACCGCGAAAATATCGCGGTGATCTCGTTGGACTTGCAGAATATTCTGTTTCGATGATCAGTCGTTGATTCGATGACTTTCTCGTTCGTTTCTTTCTTCGCGCGTTATCTAATTGTTTCGAGAAATTGATCCTCGGTTATATTTATGGAGTTGATTTGTCACGTGTTTTTTCGGGAAATTTATATTTTAATAAACTATATTTATATAATAATTTATATAGTATAAATATATAAATTTATTATCATTTATATATTATAATTATGTAAATTTATATATCAGTTAAAATAATTAAAATTTATATAATTTTGAGTCGAGACCTCTTGTCTCGTTTAATGACGATTATACTCGTCAGACACAGAGTACGCGCAGCTGCTGTGAAATTGAATTAAATTACAAGGAAGAAACGCTAGTTCCCTTTTTTTGGAAAAAATCAATAATTTAATCATTTAACTTAATTAACGTCAGTTGCAAGAAAATACTTAGAAATAGTCAGGTCTAGTCTCGAAATATTCTAAAGTGTCCAAAGTTCACAAATATGTTTCATTCTTGCACGAGGAATTTAATTCAAGTAACAAATTGTAATTACTTTTGAGTATGCTCGTCATTCACAGCTAAAAGATTAGTGTCGAAGATGCAAGAAAAACAGACTCGTCGTACTTTTCGTATTCCACTCGTGATTGAAACAATTTTGAACATCGAAGATCCACCAGTTTCCAAAATATTTCACTCGATTCACAGAATGTATTCATCCTGTAAACGTTCGCGAGCAATTTCTGCATGTTTCACGCAAGAATCGGCGTTAGTTTCGTTGCTAGTGCAGTAACGACGGTGGGCAAGAATGCGAGGACATGCGAGTGATTTCTGAAATACGATTCAATCTCCAATGATCTGCACGTCCTGCAGACGCAGCAAAGTGCAGATGCAGCGTGCAGGTCGTATGAAAAGACGAGGTCGTTCTTTCGCAAGAACGAGCAACGCGTCGAAGGAAGAGAGCTCTCTCTCTCTCTTTTTCTCTCGGTTACTCTCTTGCTCGGTGGACAAGTAGCAGAAGACGAGACGCACAGGCTGGAACTGGAGAGTGGATTGTGTTGCGACGAGTTAGCCGGCTCGATTCCCGGCGTGAGACCTTTTCATCCAACACGCTAACGGTACGATACTGTAGAACTGGAAGACACAACGTTACGCACGAGGAATGGAAAATGAATGCGGAACACGCCGGTGATACCGATAGTGCGTTAGAGTCGAAAAGCATAGACACGCACACAAAGGTTGCTCGCGAAAGCATTTGACATCGCACACGTTCTTTTTTTCTGTTTTATCTTTAACCTCGTGCCACATCGAGAATTTTTTGTCACAAAATTGTAATACTTTCTCAGGTTTAAGTATGTTTAAGTATAACCCAGGCAAAACAAAATAATTAATTTATTACTTCTCAATAATTTCTATTCAGTGATGAAAGAAAGGCGAGTTATTGTATATACGGTTTTGGTCACTCGTTACGGTCCGCAATCGGTTGCCAGCGCAAGTGATGTGCCACGTGAATGAATTTCTATGCTTTCTAATAACATTTAAGAATTTTTTTATATATTTTTTGGTACATCCATTTTTAATAGTGGGTCTTCGTCAAATCGACAAATAAAAATGAGGTGTACCTTGAGGATTTTCTGAATTAAGTGACTTAAACTGAGACTGTACCAGACGTGTGTAATGTATATTTATATATAAAAATAACGTGTAATATTAATTCTTTGACCATACTGGTAAACCTGAAATGACTTATATTATATATATATATATATATATTATAATACATTTGTATTAATATATCAAAATTACTATTAATACATGTTATAATACATTATAAAATATATTATAATATTATATAATATACACAAATAGGTACATATTTATGTCTAAATCGTATCATTTGTAACAAATTTGAATTTTTGCGTCAAACTTCTTTCTCGGTGGCAGATAGCGTTATTACATCGAACGTTTCGGTGAATTTTCGAAAAATCGTTCGAAATCAACGATCTCTCGTCACGAGTGGGAGAGGAGAAAGAGAGAGAGCACGTAGCTGCCTAACGTGGTGCCTAAGCCGCAATCTAAATTCATGCTGCGGGGAGGATAAAATGCAGCGAGCATAATGCCCGCGGGGGCTTAACACACTTTTAAAATTCAGCCTTTGAGATGCAGAGCGCGGTACGCGGTTTGTTCTTTCACTCGGTTGTTCACCCTCCTTCCCACTTTGCCTTGAAGACTTTCGACTTTAGTAGCTTACACGCTGATTAAGACACCCGATACAATTAGGCGGCGAAAAGAACCTCAAAGACGCTTCTTCCCTTGCATTTATGAACGTTTTTCAATGGTCGCGCCAGCAACACGGGAAAAAAGCTTCTCCTCCCGCTTGAAGAAATTCGACAGTAATTCTCAATCTTCTAGAACGAGCCGAGTCACACCGGACGATATCCGTTTAAACAGGAATGAAATTTGCTTTGGTAATTGTACTGCTGCCCTTTCTCTCGTCCTTTGCCTCCGAAGGGTGAAATAATTAGCGACGAGCCGAAGACGATTATGGTTTGACATCTGTTCGCTGCCGATTTTTATGCGACATCTCAAAGAAACGACTTTGCCGCGCGTGTTTGCGTTAACCATTTCGTTACGAACACCGGATATATACAGAATCTATTGACATATTTTGTGTCATCGTATGAAAAATATACTTTGGACGTGTGTAATACGCTTTAACCATTGAGACGAGCTTTTTCTATTCGATGGTGAAATATTTATATATTTTATATTTATTTATATATATATATGTGATAAATTATTGTAATAAAAAAATCTTAATCCACTCCAATTCGGAAAAAATCGGCCATAGATATAACTGTTGATATCTCAAGAATTTAAGATTACACTTTTATTCTCTCATATATTTTATTCTCTCCTTTGTCGAAATGTTCAGAAAATTCGAAAAAGATTTTATTTTTGACGTGGGGTCCCGTTCAGTATAGAAATAATTAGCCGAAGACGAGTTGCAAATTGGTGTTTGAATATTCGTCGACCAGTGGACTGCAGATCTTTGCGCAACATTGTTATCTCTTTCGAGAATGCAATTAAAGAACTTCCCCGCGGAATTTGCGTTATTACACACATACGGGAGAGACGTTATCAAAGAGAAGTGAATTTTGTGTGTGTTATCGACGAACAAATAGGCAATTGACATTAATCGGGTAGATATGAATTCCAATTACAGGGTTGCTTCAGATTAGAAAGGGTCTTTCGTAATCAACCCCCTGCCACGTGCTGACCCGATGCTAAAAAAAACCAATATGGTCCCCCGTGAAAGCAATGACAATGTATTAATATCGATATTACCTCGCAATGAATTGACAGTTACGTATTGTACTTTCGACCTTTCGGTGGGATTTACTTTCGAATCTCGATGATCGTGTGTCTTCAACCTAGACGTCAAGTTTCGCAGTATTGAAAAATATGTTCAGATATTTATTTAAATAAAACCAATTTAGAGTCATCGCGTCGGTAATTTATTTTGAAAGTATCTACTTATCGAAAGATAAATTTTTCGTCTGTTTGAGGCCTGATTTTTCCGTTAATATCACTATTACTATTGAACTATTTTTATACTTCAGATGAAACGTAATTTGCACGTACTAGCCAGAGTTGGGTATTAATCGGTCAGAATATTTAGTCCGGCTGATTGATTTAATAAAATTAATCCTCGATCGTTGATCAAATTCTGCGTAAAAATGCAGTCCACCAAATGACAGACAAAACGTCTATTAAAAATTCACAGTTCGAGTCGTAAGTTTCGTCCAAAGTTGGACACTGATCGATCAGAATTTTCAGTTTAACCAACTACATAAACAACAAAACTAATGGTCAAAAAATCGGCCACTGGATTCAATCGACAAATCAAATCAAATTATCAATCGTTGATCAAAGGGAAATTAATCGGCGATCGATCCGATCGATCGACAGTGTTGTTAATCAATTGTTGGTTATCGAATTCGATTCTGATATCATCGAAATTGGAGGTGTAATTTTGTAACAAAGCTTTACGGTTGAGACATTTCATCGAAACGAAACGTATTCCCGACTTATACAGCCTCAATTGACTCGTTGCAAGTTGAAGTAAGGAAGTAAACTCCTACTCCAAAGGAGGAATTTAATTCGTGACTGACGTCGGAGTGTGATCGTTAGTTGTCGAAAGAATTAATTTCTCACCCGACTCTGGTACCAGCTGACACTTCAATCGGTAACAGTTTGCATGAACTCTGTTGTCTATATGTAAATGAATGTGTTATATACTGTCATGTAATAATAACCGCTGTGTAATCGATATATATATATATATAAACATATATATGTATAATATATATAGATGATGTTGATGACTGATGACCGTTGTTATGTGGGTGATTCTAGTAGGGCCTGTGTTCGGGGGCCGATGCGGCGCGGAGGCGCTCGGGCTGGGGTTAGGGCTGTCGCTGGGCCCGGCCTACAGGTTCGCTCTGCCCCCGGGACTCGCTGCCAAGACCACCCGCTGCCTTGTATTCGACCAAGGTAGGCCTACCAGCCATCTTCATTACCTCTGCCTACGATCTCGGATAGAACTGATCACCTTTCCATGATATTCCTATTAACGATAGACTCACGCTTTGTTTGTGAAATTGAACATTTCTGCAGGTTGAAACTTGGATACAGATTAAGAATTTTAACCGGTATACTCTGGATATTTTGTACGTTTTTATATATGCAAAATATTGTTCCTTTTTTTTTTTTTTTTTTTTTTTTTTTTAATACAACTTGTATGGGATCGGTGAATCTTCGTGGAAGTCAATACCAATAAGCATGTGCAACGTGTACAATTCTTCGGAGAAGTTGCGTGAAAATCGACAGACATTTTCTTAAACGCGAGATTCGTTTGTGATGCTGTTTCTGATACTTGAATGCATTAAAGAAATCGATTAAGGTGATAGTTCTATCTGAGATTGAAAGGGTTAGTAAATATTCTCTTCCCAACAAACAACATACGTAACATCTAACAGAAAATTTTCACTTAACTAATCGGCAACTAATCCTGATTTGAGTTTATCACTCTGCTTAACATCACGATAATTTATTTTCACATATACATACTTGCAAGTATGATTCTGTGGTGTTTTTTCTTTCTTCTCTAAAATTTTCTTTCGTCTGTCACTGTAAATTTTATTACAATATATATATAAATATATATATGGAGTTAATCGACGTGATATCTGACAGTGAGTGGCTCGCGAATTAAAGGGATTGTCGTTGAGACAATTTTAATTCGCCTAAACAACGATTAAACACGGGTATTGTCGTAGCAAGCGTTGTTGCACGTCCTCGAATCAACAAATCACGTTAAGCCTCCGCGTCGTCAAATTCTAACATTTCCCAACACAGAGTGCTGATATATAGTAGGCTTAACAAACTTCGATCGGCCTGGCGGGAGGGGGAGGGGGTGTAATGTGGCGTGGGGCAGAGTTAGAAGATTAGCCAAAAATTTACTGTCAGGTATTTGCGGGCAACGTTTCAACTTTAACCAAAATACACGTGTAATTTCACGTGTAATTTCAATTTTGTCGAGACTGAAATCGGTACGACGAATTTCTTGGAATTTTTGAAAATTCCACGGATGGATATTTCTTTCACTAAGAACGTTCGTTTTTCTGAGTAATTTCGTCGAAATTGGACGGTATCGCAGCGACGGAGAGTGAATTAGACTACACAGAGAGTACAGTGGGCAAAGGATAATTTTCAAAGTGGATAGTCTCGTCTCGTTGATGAATTTTCGGTTCGAGCGTACCAACGTCGATTTCAGTGTTCATTCGCGCGGCCGACTCCCTGTGCTTAAAGTCGGCCATCGATCCTCGAAATCCAGCTGCAAGATCGACTTGCGCGTTTACACGGGCTAAGCCTACGAGATACGCTCATCTTCGTGTCCACAAATCGAACAAGACCGATTGTAAACGAGCTTGTACTTTCGTCAGTCTCGTCGAGCCTGGTTAATACCCGGCTACCTATGTATGTACACCCGTGTACATCAGGAACTGAACACCTGCGAGCAACATGAAAGTTCCAGCCAATATCTCGTGTCGATTCCCCACGTAATTACTCTCCACGAAAATTATTTTAATCAACATCTTGTGATGTTGTTACAATAATCGGTAATAAAGTGATTGGTTTATTTATTGAAGACTCAACGAAGATAATTTGTTCTAATATATCGAGCAAGGTACAACGCTACTAATTGCTAATCAAAACGATCAATTTGTAATTTTTGTTAAAAATTTTGTTTTTAGGAATATTTCTAGAGACTTGAATTGATTTTTCGCGAGATATGTAAATAAAAGATTGTGTGATCTGTCATGTTACTTTTTAAGGTTTTTCTGCCTTTTTACTTTAATATCTCTGGTGGATATTTCGTGCTTCAGTCGTTGATAGTTGTAGTGTTGAGGATGAGTGCAATCTTTGTTTGTTACATGCTCTCGTTCAATATTGAACTTTTAGATCTCTGAGCCTCTTGAAGTCTCTTTTCCTCAGTGTTGTGAAAACTGAACTTTTGCACAATACTTTATAACAAATTTGGCACAGAATGTGAGTTTGTAGCTTTGTCGTTAAGGAAATTAATTACGATAACGTAACTCGAAAGAAATCTTTCAGTAATAAACTAACGAATAACCAACTATAATCAATAAAATTTAACTTACGATATAAAAATTGACTCTTACGTTTTACCAAGTGCAAAGCAAAATATGTGTTCTTAATATTAAATTGATCCTAATTTTGAATTCGTGCCACTCGCCAAGTGAATGGCCCGTAAACATTTACACTCTTAGTCGAAATTTTCTCTGTTCATGAAATTTACACATTTTAGTTGCAATTTTCTGACGCAGAACGAAATTTTCCAAGAACTTTACGAGACAATCCGCGTAAAGAGTTAAAAGACACAGTTCACGTTGAAACACACGGGAGAAGAGGTTCGACTCAGTCTGAAAACACAAAAGCCGCCCCGCGTAAAATTTCCGTTTCGGAGTCTGCTAAATTATGCATTGAACGACGAGGTCGCGAGGATTCACGTGAATCAGCTACGAGAGCGAGAGATTTCAAAGGCGACGAACAGTGACTCTGCCCTTCTTTCTTTCTTTTTCTTTTCTTTTTTCTTCTCTCGCTCTCCTCGATCATCTCCTCTGCTGAAACGACGACGAGGATCTTACCAGGAAGGAGATATTATTTTTCATAAACGCGGCGTAAATGGTCGTTTCACGTGATTGCATGGATCCTACGGGATGAACGCGTGTGTTCCTTGTTACGCTCCAGTCGAGACGTAGAGGGTAATTCCGGCCGATCCTATTTAGTCCTCTCTTTCTCTCTCTCTCTCTCTCTCTCTTCTCCACCCAGTACGATCGTGAATATATTAAGCTACGCAATGAATATTTTCATTGTTCGGTAAATTGCAAAAATATATTCTTTACGAGAGGCTCGAGTCACCTAAGCTTTGATATCTCGAAGTTCTTAGAATTTTAAATTACATCTAGCAGAGAGATACGATGCAATGTGAACCATACGTTGTAACTTAATTGACTGATAATCAAACCTTGTCCTGCAGTATCGTGTTCATCCTCCCGGTGCGTGTAAAAGAAACAAATTCAAACTTGTAACTTAGATAACTTTCAGTTGAGGATTGATAAATAACAATTGTGTAATAACAAGTCATGTTCCATAGTCGTCCACCGATATCGAGTAAAATTACTTTGATGATACGATGTAATAAGTAACAGTAACAAATGACTTGAAGATCGATCAAAGTAATCGTGAGGCAAGAAGACGAAATTGGAAAAAATTGACGATTCATCGATTTAAAGTCCCAGGTCACTTTCTTTTAATCTCTTGCGCCACTCACGTCGAGAATTTATTGTCCCAAAATTGTAATATCTTCTCAGTTTCAAGTATATTTAAGTAAAAACAAAATAGGCGAAGCAAACAATAAATTTATCACTTGTCAATAATTTCTATCCAGTGATACCATACGTACGAGTTCAGAAAGAAAGCGACGAATTATTATATACGGCTTTGGTCACTCGTTATGGTCCGCAATCAGTTGCCAGCGCAAGTGGTTAACACCATTAACGTCAATATTAATTTTAAAAAGCTGTTCGCCGGCAGGTGAATCAAATTTTTAAGTTGCACGTATATTTCACAGACTCTTTGTCGCATAAAGTATAATACCTCCAGTTTTGAATTTTGTCCAAAAGCTTTTGAGGTGAAGTGACACCTATCCAAAAACACCTACAAAAAAACAAAGAAGAAAGAAAGGCATCCGCTTTGTTTGAATCCGTTTACTTTCTATTACTAGGTTTTTATCGAGGGATGAGATCATTATGCTGGCCTCTCTCTCTCTCTCCCTCCCTCTTTCCAATCCCCGACGTTACCGGTGCCCGTGTAACGTCTTGCATCGCCACCTTTTCGGCCAACATCCTCTCACCCCCCTCGTGGGTCCTCCTCGTCCCGTTTGCTTCTCGCCTCTCTTCGCGCGACAGTAATTTTACTTAATTAAATTCCGTTCTTTCTGCCTTTGCTGCTACGACCCCTCTGGCCATATCCCCCAACCTTTCGTCGTCCACCGAGCATCGTCACTGATTTTTCTCGGTTCTCCTCTCTCTCTCTTTCTCTTTCTCTCTTCTCGCTTAGAAGCTTCAAACGATTTTTCCACGATTCCGAGCTCGTATACAGGACGACTAACAGCGTTCACAATATACGACCGAGAGGATTTTTTCCTCTTTCTTTTTTTCTTTCTTTCTTTCTTTCTTTTTTTTTTTTTTTTTCTTTCTAACACCAGTTTAAAGAAATTAGAACGTGCTCGAGCGGAGAGAAAGTTTGCAACAGGATAAAGATATAATCGCGATATAATCGTTCGATATTTGGATAATCTTGAAACAGCAGGAAACTGCGAAATTTCCATGAAAAATTACTCTTTCTACGCATTGTGTATACATACGTATATTTCAAACGAACGCAACGATATATATTTCATACCTGGAATTTTCAACGTTTTTAAACACGCTCGAATACTTGCGTTTGATCGGGAACTTTCGAACACGGTGCGCACAACGGTATCGAATATAGAAACGAAACTACAATTATCATTATTCGCGAAAATGTTACAGGCGTGTTTAAAATATCGCAAATTGTTACGAATCGTATCGTTTGCACGAGTTTAAACGTATATATTTATTATCGTGACGTTATCAAATTATGTACAGCGTCCACGTACCGCGCGGATTATCTAAACGAACGGAAACATCCGTGAGACATGCTCGTACACTTGCCCGAGATGTCGACGAAGTCATAAACGAGAGAAAAATGTCTGTGCAGTGGGTTTCGTTGGATAATGTTTGCGGGTACTCGTTAAGCGGTGTAAGAATTAAGGGGCGCGAGAAGGGTGGCTCGGGCCTAGAAGGGGGTGGACTTCTTATTACCACTTCATCTGCAATTAACATTTATGGACGGCAACTGTCTCGCCTCGAAAAACTAATTAAATATTCCGCGCCAGGTTGGATAGGGTGTCCCTTTACTTACGACCTCCACCCGCCGAGAATAAGGAGCG